ACAGCAATCGTGTATCCATGATTCTGTTTCGATTTCAACGCTGGGTTCACTATCGACACGGGTCAATTCGAAATGAAGAATTGCCGACGCAAGAATCTTGTTAAAATCACCGTCGAGTGGATAATTTTTGCGTTTCACCGTTCGATCTTGACCTTTGACAGTAGACACGATCACCACTAACAGGAATAGAGTGCAAGAGAAACACTTCATCGTCCAATGTGATAATGGAAACAAATCCGCAGGTATAACTTTAGGCAGAATTCGTTTTAGTAGACGCGAACCAGCAAAATTTGTTTATTGATCGTTGTTCTACCTATCAATAAAAAAAAACTATTTGTTTACATTAGCTTTAAATAAAAAAAGCAGAACATTCATTTTCATGTATTAGTCGTATCATAAGTACAGTGATGACTTCTCATTCAATATCTTAAATCTTTAAATAGAAAATTTCGAGAAAAGATAGTAATCATGCAAGCCATGAATGTAATGATTATTCTTCGTCGCCTTGTTCAACAGATTTCGATTCACGTTTTACATCTTGGTGTTGCATTTCTTTTGTTGTACAAAATACTGACTTGAAAATTTTACTATGTGATGCAAAAATTGATTAACCGGTGTTAGTATATGAAGCGATAAAGGATGTTTAGAAACGTACTCATGTTGAAACTGTAGCTACTCAAAATAAGTACTATTTCGAATAATATACAGCTACTTTTAATAATTTAAGTAGCTGATTGTTTTGTAACAATTTTTCCTTTATAGCACTACTTCATGTAACTAGCTATTGAAAATCTATCGTGCTTTAAACATTATTATAGCTGTTTAAAAGAGCTATTTAAAAGAAAATATATACAGCTATTATATGATTTAAATACCTAATTCACTTCTAACAAACCCTAGCAGTCAAAATTAAGCAAAAAACTCGTTATAACGAACGTTATTTTATTTTCTTTTAACGCATTTTTTCTTTCAATAAATGTCCGAATTTTGGCGTTTTAACAGTTGAATTATTTTTGACTTTAAACTCGTTATAGTGAGTGGAAACACAAGCGTTTAAACGCGTTTAAATGCAAAAAATCGGACACTTCATATGTTTAAACACGTTGAAAATTTACGCTTTCATGGGTTAATAAATGAGTATTTAAGTACTATAAAACATAGAAATTTTTTCAATATTGAATACTAGTTATTTTTTATTAGGAGATTTCTATGTGTACTCTCACAGTTATCAGAAAGAAAAACAACAAGAGAAAGGATTGTTAGATATACCTATGTCTCTAAATATAGTTCACATTTTTTAACAGAATTTGCATGTTATTTTCATTTCCTGTATATGTAACAATCCTTTTTCTCTTGCTGGTTTTTTTTTATAACTGTGAGAGTACACATAGAAATCTCCTAATAAAAAATAATTAGTATTCAACTTTGAAAAAAATTTCAATGTATTTTATAGCACTCATATACTCAATTATTGACCGATTACTTTCTACTGCTGCTCCTAGTGGATTTATTAATTTTTATGGATTTCATGTACTACTAATTTGTCGCCTTTCAATAGCAAATGGAAAGAGGGTCTAAAATACAAATAGTCATAATTGCATACCTAGGGGTAACAAACGCTACACTTTAATTGCTTAAAATTATTTCATTTAGTTATATTGCTAACACATTACATGAAAAATGGGGCGAGGAAAAAACTATCTATATCCTAAAAATGATAGATAAAGTTTGCAAACGATAAAAAGATGTTATTCTGTTCACTTTTGAAAAACTTTATTCCTAATTCACTTATCAAAAATTCTGTAAGCATACATTAAAAGATCGCAATCATTCATTCATGTAGGCTTCTCATCTAAATCTTGTGAAGACTATTATATAACTACTCAACAATTTTATTTAATCTGCTCATTGCTCTATAAAATTCTATATTTAATTCAAACAAAAATATTCTATATACATGCAGCAAGAGTTTTCTAGTCTCTTGATCTATACAAAAGCTTGTGACTTAAGTGCGTGCGACGAAAACTCTATTAAGACCCAGTGAAAAATATTTTCATTGTGTTCAATGCTTTAAACTTCATTTCTAGATAAAACATAAAAATTCTATTGACATTCAGTAAAAGAAATTTTTTTTTCTAATAATTCATACAAAAATTTCTATTTTTAATTATCTTAAAAATATTCTAATGTAAACTAACCTTGTCAAAAATGTTCTAATCAGCTGATCGTTATGATTACTATACAAATACATATGATACAAATGTTCTCAACTTACGTTGTTAGTGTGTTACGAGAGCGAGACAAAGGAATAAAGAGAAAGAAACAAAGAACGATATTACGACGAATGAAATTAACGCACAGAAAAACATAGCATTAAATAACTATTGGCTAGTGAAATCTACTTAGAAAATCAACTAGGGAAAAGTGAATGGTCAAAAGAAAAAAACAATCGAAATATTTATTATTTTTAGAATCTTTTCTTTAAGAGTTAACTATTCTTTATGTTTTCTATTGCTTTTCTTGTATATTTAATCCAATGGAAATGGATTATAAGATAAAGATAAAAGATTACCTGCTATTGACTAAAATATGTCCTCACATTAATAGAATTAAACACACTTGACTGTTTAAGTGCATTTATTGTACATCGAATATCATCTTTTGTTATATAAATCATCAAACTGTTTCCGGCTGTTTTTTCAAGGATGCAAGTCGAATTATTTGTTTCTTTTCATTTTCTTACCCTGGATAATTTAACACATCTTTGTACTATTTTCCATAGAAAAGCCGATATAAATATGCTAGCGAGGACAATATTTTTAATAGTACCACAAAGTTCATCGATAGCAACATACATACGTACATCTTTTTTGCGCAAACTTATTGTATGGAACTTATCATGAAACAACATAAGAAGTTACTAATTTACAATCTATTATGCAGAAACTTGTTTTTCAACCTGGAACTGCTATTAAATTTGTTCCTGTTCATAAATCATTTTGTTTTTTTTTTCAGTACTCTAATCGAAGTGGAAGCAGTTAACCATAATAAATAGATAGCTGTTTTCTTTACTTTTAGTGTAGTTTGGATAGAATGTTGTATTAATCAGTATTAACAAGCAGCTTCTCTTCAATTAATATTTTTCTATGCCAATTCATTAAAATGTATGATATATCTGTGTTAAAACGCATTAACTTCTGTAATTTCTTTGCATACAAACGTTAAAGCATGTTCATTACTCTAATATCTTCGTTAAATGCGTTAAACGGAAAATAACCGTTTTCACGCGTTTATTTCTTGCATTTCTCTAGTAAACGAGTTTTATAGCATTGTTTTCTTCAATTCTCATTGTCAATGCATCAAAACGGCTTTTTGCTATATATCTGTCTGCATGAGTACGCTTATTTCTTTAGTTTCGTTATAAATTAAAAGGTTATTAGTTGACGAATTTTCTTTTATTTCAGCCCTTGCTGACACATATACATAGAAATACATCAATGATTATTCATTTAAAAAAAAGAATGTCAATGGTTGGTTTTTGAATAAATTTTGATAGGAACGACGGAGAGAACTGAGAATTCGGCCATTGAAGTAAGTCGAAATCTAATTGACAAGAGAGGTTCTGAAGTCATTTCCCATTAGATTTTGACGTGTAATATGACCTGATCGGTAGAGAAAAATCTTTTTTTTTGATCTATGTAAAGTCATAAGTTATTCGAAAAAACAACCATCGGTATTCTTTTTTGAAATGAATAATAGTAATGTTGAATCATGTCACAAACGTCCTTTGGAAAAAGTCCTTGACGAAGTGTTCCTCAGTTATTGTCCCTCAAGAAAAGGTTCTTTAAATCTTGTCCTTTTAAAAATGTCCTCCAATGTAAATGTCCTTGATAAAAAAAGTCCTTTAGAAAATGTCCACATATAAAAATGTCCTTCATTCTTGAACCGAAGAAATTTATATAAAACATGTAAACAACTTAGATGACGCTATAATTCAAGTGTGTAATCGTAGCGATCAAGTTATATAGATAGAGNCTGAAAACATGAAATTCATTTATAGTATTCTAAATTATTACGATTGATATATAGAAATATATGATTAGCCAATGGATTTAGTATCATAACTTATTTCACTACTTCAACAGCCAAAAAATCAGTGTATGGCAATATACTCGAAAAGAAAGTACTACTCGACTAAAGGACTAAATATCAAAGGACTTAGTACCCAGTCGGACTGGGTATCCAGTCCGACTGGGACCCAGTTCACCAGTCAGAACTGGGACTGGTGCATCCCTAAGCATGAATACTATTCTAATCCATATAACACGCCCACGCTCACATCCTCATCTTGGCTGATAACGAAGAAAATCAAGAATCTGGAAAGACGAGAAGCAAGATCGTCAACTAGTGATGAGTCGTCATTAATGATCAAATAATTTTATTTGTTTCCCGGTTTTCATTATTCAGTTGTTCAAAGAATCAATTTCAAAGATAAGTGTGAAGATATGACTCTACAATTACTAATAATAAAATTAAAAAAGATTCTAGATAGCAAACGAAAATAAAATAAAAACAGTTAATGAAATTTACCTTTTCATGGATCTTCTCTTCATTTGCAGGCACACATTGATTCCAAGAACATCGGAAGAGAAATATATATAAAAAGAATAAATAAAACTTTCATTTTATACAGTTATGTCTTGTAAATACGTAATCTAGCGTCGTCTATCAATTGAAGGAAACAAAAATGTCGCAATGATATGTTTAATGAACATTCCATCGATATTAAGCATTGTCAGTCGACCATGTATTCTTTATTTAGTACGCAAGCAGAACATAGTCTACTGGTCTACAGACAAATCGAGAAAAAACATTAAATCAATATCAAATGGCGAACACACTTATGCACTTAGTGGCGCTAATTTTTGAAATACTCCGATCACTTTTTTAGAGCAACTACTTTATATCAAATTGTAGCTTGACAAAAGACAAATCATTTCATGAAGTCAGATTTTTCGGCCTATTTTTTTTTCTCGAGAAAATTACTGATTAAGTTGACTAATACTGAGTAATGAAACTCGACGACCAATAAGAATACGGTATAATGGTATTATTTTATATTTGTTTGGATTGATCAGATTATATTGAATATTTCTTGGTTATAATCACTTTTCTAAAAAGAAGTAAAAGCACAGTTTGATAGAGAATTTTTTTTTCTATCTACCAGTATTCATCAAAGTCTCGGCCTATTTAATTTTTTAAGAGATCGCCACGCGTAGTGCATTTGATATTGATCCACTTAAAACGCTATACTTTTTTCGCTCTGTCGGCTGACTAACAGAAAAAAGATGTGTATTTACATGAATCAATATGAAATGCGCTATGTGCAACATGTTTTCAAAAAAAATTAAATATCCCGAACTTTTGATCTATACTAGTCTATACACGGAATTTTTCTCTATCTAACTGTGTTTCTAGTTTTTTCAAAAAAAGAGTCTATCCAAAGAAATCATCGAAACAAACTGACCAATCAAAACACAATAACGCTTGCGATTTGAGAATGGATCGATGATTTATCTCTATTTGATGGTAGACTTATTATTATCAATTGATGTTTACACTTATTTATTTGGATTTGAAATAAATTAAACAAAATGAATAAAATGAGTAAATCATTTGAAGTTTTAAAATTAATTTCAAGAAGAGCATCTGAAACATTAATAATTAGGTAAAGAATTCGATTTTTTTAAAATTTTATCTCTTATTGAATGTTTTTTTCATCTAGAAGTAATAATGAAAATTATTTTAAATTAGTTATAGCTATTATGGAAATATTATTTACAACATGTGTTTAAAATGATTATGATGTACGATTTAGCTATCAAAGAAAACCTTAATAAACTTGTTAAAGTATTAAAGAAAGAAATCCTTTTTTTTTTTGTATAATTTTTTTATGAATTATAAAATAGGTTTAAGTTATATGACATCGAATTATAAAATGTAATCCAAACGTTGAAACACGAACTTTAAAAAGTTATTTTTATTATATGACTTAAATTTGTTATAAGTTTCATTTTAATTTCGATTAGGTATTCTATCACGATTTGTCGAATTAGCAAATATAATACATCCGAAAAAGATTCGCATATTCTTTGAACATTTATTATCATCATTTTGATGAATTGCTGCTCGTTCAGATCAATTACTACTAAAGAAATCAAAGTAAGTGATAAAATAACAACAATTTTTTGTTGTCGAACACAAGTCTTTTAAAGAAGTTATTAGAAAAGGATTGCTCTAGTTAATGGATAATGTCTGAGCCTATCTTCCAGTTACAACTTCAAACAGGAGAGGATACTTTTCAGGTAATGTAGAATAGGTAGTCTAATACTATTTGACGAAATACAAACTGAGAAACTATCCATCATTTCAAGCGATCCGCTCTTGAAAGTAAACGAATGTAGAATTTCATACAACTTAAGATTTATAAAATTTTATTTATCATTAAATTTCAATGAGAAATTAAATAATTTAGTCATAGAAGCTTACTAACCTTTGTTATAGTTGAAATATGAAGTCGAATTAAACTATTCTTAGAAACTTCTCATAATGAATTTAGCAGGTATGTCGCAGAAATTTGCACTTATTCGTCATTCATCAACTGCTTTTCTTATTATTATAACTCATTATTTCATTATCCTATAGTGATAGAATCTTTTTTAATGAGAAATACAATTATTAGGTTTTCTTTTCAAATAATAATTTAAATTCATTATAATTTTCTTTTATTTTATTTAGATTAGTTATTTCAATATCATATTCAAAATGATAGTAAACATTTAATAATTAGTTATCTTGGTTTAAATATTTAAGAGTTTCAATCATCATCAAGCAGTAGTCAACAACAAATAAATATAACTAAAAAAATTTTGATACAAATAAACAATATCTTTCAATTAAGATTCGACAAATCATCGAAGCAAAAAACAAAAAGATAAATGATTTTTAGTATGTTTATATTTGTTTAGAACATAATGATCATAATATTGTGAATGTCATTGGAAACACTTGAATCATACTTAAGTATTCAAATTTTTATTTGATTTTGATCAATTATTAATTTGAACTCAAATTGGATCTATAAAAAAAATTTATGTTAGTCAAACATCAAAAACAGGTAAATATTGAGAGAAAAAAAAAACAAGAATTTTTTTAATTTGTGTTTTTTTCCTAGAACAATAGCTTATTCAACATATCAACTTTGGTTTATTGAAATGAATGATGTGTTAGATTCAACATCAATGATTAATAATGGCAAACGAATATCAATTGCTAAACTTGTTGAACAACTTATTTCAAAGTATGAAATATAAAAACAAATCAATCACATTAGATGGTGCGATAAGAAGTGATGATGAATCATGTATTAGTATAAAATGTGCTACACTAACATGCCTATCGCATTTATCAAAGATTTGATCCATTTCGTTCTCCTACTGAAAGTGTGTTTAATTCTTGAGAGTGGGTGTGGGAGAAGAAACACTCACATCCTTGCCATCATTAATAATACACCATCAATTATTATTAGTTTGTATTTAAATAAAGTGATACATGTACATAATTTCTCTGGTCAGATATATCGTAGATCATTTGCAAGTTATTTATTTATTGAATCATAATATATACTAATTGGCATAGTTTACTAAAAACGAAATAAATTATTATTATTATTAAAAATTTGTCGTAGTTTTATTAATTGAACAATTGCTTACATTATTAAGTTTCATTGAATTAATTATTTGTCATTTTATTAAAATAATGTTAACACTAGATGAACAAATATTAAATAAATAATGAATACCTAAATATTTACCATTAATTTTATTAATAATAATATCAATCGATACTATTCAAGACGATCTTAATAATCTTAATTATCATGATAAAGATTTTATATTCCATTTTGGTAAAAAGTGTTAATTATTCTATGAATAGAACACCAAAAGTTAATGCACAAATACTTCAAATATAACTTTAAAAAATCATTACCATTTATGATGTCATCGGTATGTTTTAGATTTAATCTACTGAAATAAATATATAAAATTTGCTTCTCTTCGACATGATTTATATGATAGTATAGTAAATGAGACTTTTGAATAATTCAAAATTTCGAAAAATATTTTAGAGTATTAAACTAATCGGTCTACTATACTTACATGTAAAAGCGAACGATTTTTTTAATGATATAGTTTTAAAAAAATGCAGAATTTCAGGTAATACGAATCGTAAAGGAAAACATTTAACTCGCATTAGTACAATGACCGAATTATTTCTCCTGAATCTCATTAGTTAAATATTGAGCTGTGCTATTTGTACTGTCATAGCTAGAGAAAACAATGTCTTTTTAATATTATGAGATGAATAATGAAGAAAACAATCATAAATAGTTTTAAAGATATCTCGTAAAATGTTTTCTATTGTGCAATCGAAAATAATATTTAGAAACCAGACATTTCAAATTTATGACAAAACAAATATCATGAACCGATGGCTAGGAATGCAACAGTGATGTTGATTTTACATTCTATATATTCAGATTCCTGAAGTCTGAATACCTAGTCTACAATTTTAAAATTCAGCTATTTTCTTACAATAATCTCTCTAACTAAAACAAAAAAAATAAAAACTCAAGACTCGTACTTTTATCATACATTCATGATCAACCTTGTTTTCCATTCTTAAGTCTATTTTTTTCTATAGCATAAAATTTTTAGGATGATTCTCGTAGTAAATAAAACCTGATTTGAGAAAATAAAAATCTGTATTTTGTTTTTGTCGTTCTAGATTTTGTATATTTACCAATGCCGGATTGTCTTATGTTTGATATTCATATTTCATCATTATGATGTGTATCAACAGGTAAATTAATTACAATAATCAATTTTCGATATCTTTCTTTACCAACACAACGATCAATATCAAATGAAATAAATTTCAATGATGTTAAAACAACGTCAGATATTATTTATATAAAAAGTCTTTTATTATTATGTTCTAATAATCAACTATATTTAATTGCATTAATAGATTCTATATCAATTTATTTTGATACAATACAAGATCATGTTAAATTAACATGTTAATTTTCAACAGATGATAAACGTGATTTACTACATTTTATAATATTTATATCGGATATATAAATATATTACAAAAAAATCTTTTCTTAATTGGAATACAATTGAAAGTTTCCTTTTCGTTATTTAAAAAAAAAACAATACATAAATGTATCAATGATTTAGTGGAACAAATCAAATAATATCATGTTGTACATTATCAAAAACTATATTATCAACATTTGAATATCTTTCTCAACAATATAGCATTATTCTATCAAATAAAAAAACAAATTAATTATTACAATCACATATAAATTTAATTAAACGAAATAATCGACCATTTACACAATTATTACTTATATCATTTAATGATCTTTATCATTGATTATTTCACAAAAAAAAAAAAATTAAGTGTATACCATATTTATTTAAATCATTTATACGCATATCAAGACAATATTTGGAACAACATTATCAAGATAATATAAATTACAATTTAATTTAAATGATTATTGTTTATTATCATTTGTTTGTTGGTAATCAAGAACACAATATCAAGAAATATGAGTTTAATTTTTAGCTTCAATTAATCGACCAAGTCAATCTAATGATGAAAATGAAAAAATAATAAATAATTTAACAAAAAAAAGAAATTTTATCTACTCTACTTTGTTTTCCTCTACACAGTATATGGCTTCATGGTGTAACAACATTGTTATTAAATGGACTTTTATTGAATCCTGCAGAAAATTCAGCAGATATAACATTTGAACATCGATGAAATTCAAATAATTTATTTAAAAATATTGAACGATTTGGTACACATGATTTATTATCCTATGGATAACTTTCATATGATTTTATATTAAAATCATTTCAAAGTAATAATACATTACCATTACCGGTTAATGTAAGTCTCATATATGTTTTAATAAGTGACAGGCTCCGTAGCGATCCATTTCGAGTATATAAGAAAATATAGAACTTTAACCCTCGTACGCTTTTTCGGGTCCAACCGGACCCACAATGCTGCTTTTTGTCTCCTGCTGCTTTAACAGTTGTCTTTTCCCTAGCGATCTCTTCTAATCGTCGACCTTCTAAGGATGCACAAGAGCCATATCAAATTTTTTGGATACGTCTTACAGGAAAAAAATTGAAGGGTGGGTCCACATGGACCCGTTAACAGCCTTGGTGTTGTACAAATGATTTTTACTCTTGTTAGAACTACCATTTATCGTCTCAACAGTTTATTTTCCAGAAGATTCATTAGTTCAGTATAGCTAATGACGGTTCATACATTTTTTTCATCCTTGTCTTACTGTTGTTGGTATGTTTCGATTGATACACTTCTGTTACGATCTTCACCTTCAGTTAGATCATAATAGCACTATATTCGTTATTTAACCCTAGATTTTGTGTATTCACTCTATGTCTCCGTGTGTTCGTACTATCTTCTCCATATCTAGCGCAAATCAAACAGAAATTTGAGTTTTCCTTACTCATTCATATGAGGGTCCGGTTGGACCCGTATAACATCCTTTGTGTAATAAAACCAAAACAGCGTTCGAGGGTTAAGTAATGAACTGCATCGAACTCCAAAATCGGATTTCGATTCTAATGGAGTAACTGAGAATTTTTTTCGAAGTTATACCGGTAAAACAATCAAGAAAAATTTATCTACTACTTCTAGCGTTATGAATATGTTTCAAGGAAAGTTAATAACATTAAGAGAG